TTAATGAGAATAGGTTAAGGATAGGTTAAGCAATCTCTGGGATGACATCAAGAGAACAAATATTCACATTATAGGGGTCTCAGAAGAGAATAGAGAAAGTAGGAGGCAGAAAATTCATTTGAAGAAATAACAGCTGAAAATTTCCTTAACCTGGGGGAAGAAAACAAACATCTAGGTTCAGGAAGGACAGAGAGTTCCAAACAAGATGAACTCAAGGAGTTCCACACCATGATACATAATTAAAATGTCAAAGGTTAAAGATAAAGAGAAAATTTCAAAAGGAGCAAGAGAGAAACAAAAAGTTACATAGAAGGGAAACCACTTATGACTATGGGCAGATTTTTCAGCAGAAAAGTTGTGAGCCAAAAGAGAGTGGCATGATATATTCAAAGAGCTGAAAGGAAGAAAACCTACAACCAAAAATACGCTCCATGGCCAGATGTAAAATATGAGAATACATACCTAAAACGGAGGTGAAAAAAATTTTTAGAATGTGTTCAAATTTAAGTAACTGACTTAATATAGACTGCTATATAATTAACATGTTATATATAAACCTCATGGTAAAGACAAAACCAAAATCTATAATGGGTATACAAAAAATAAAGACAATCAACTAATACAACAGAAGGTCATCAAAGGAAAGAGAGCAAAAGAAGAAGAAAAAAACTGAGAACTACAAAACAACCAGAAAACAATTAACAAAAGGGCAATAAGTACATACCTATCAATAATTACTTTAAATGTAAAAGTAGGTCTAATGCTCCCATCAAGACATAGCGTGGTGGAATAGATTAAAAAACAAGACCCATTTGTATGCTGCCTACAAAAGACTCATGTCAGACCTAAAGACACACAGAAATTAAGAATGAAAGAATAGGAAAAGATATTCCATGCAAATAAAAGCAAAATAAAAAAAAGCCAAGGTAGCAATACTTATATCAGACCAAACAGACTTTAAACAAAGGTTGTAATAAGAGACAAAGGGCATTATATAATGATAATGGGGTTAATCCAACAAGAAGATATAACATTTGTAAATCTCTATGCACCCAACATTAGAGCGCCTAAATACATAAAGGAAATATTAACAGACCTAAATGGAGAAATTGACAGTAATACAGTAATAGTAGAGGTCTATAACATCCCATTTACATCAATGGATAGATCATCCAGACAGAAAACAAAGGAAACAGTGGCTTTGAATGAGACATTAGACCAGATGTACTTAAAATATCCATGCACAACATTCCATCCAAAAACAACGGAATATACCTTCAATTCAAGTGTACATAAGACATCCTCCAGAACAGATCACACATTAGACCATAAAACAAGTTCCAGGAAATTTAAGAAAATTGAAATCATATCAAGTATCTTTTCTAACCACAATAGTATAGAACTATCAATCACAAGAAAAAAACTGGTAAAAAGAAAAACACGTGTAGGCTAAACAGCATGCTACTAAATACCATGCTACTAAACACCCAATGGGTCAATGAAGAGATCAAAGAGAAAATCAAAAGATACAGGAAGACAAATGAAAATGAAAAGACAACAGTCCAAAATCTTTGGGATTCAGTGAAAACAATTCTGAGAGAAATTCATACAGATACAGGCCTACCTCAAGAAACAAGAAAATTCTCAAATAAACAATCTAACCTTATATGTAAAGGAAATTGAAAAAGAGAATGAAGCCAAGGTCCATAAAAGGAAGGAAATTAAGATCACAGTGGAAATAAATGAAATAGAGATTTAAAAAAATAGAAAAGATCAAGGAAACCAAGAGCTTGTTCTTTGAAAAGATAAAATTAATAAACCTTTAGCTAGACTCATCAAGAAAAAAAGAAGAGGACACAAATCAATAAAATCAGAAATGAAAGAGGAAAATTAATAGCCAACACCACAGAAATACAAAGACTTATACGAGAACATTACAAAAAATTATGTCAATAAATTAGAATAAATGGATAAATTCCTAGAAACATATAATCTTCCAAAACTGAATCAGGAAGAAACAGCAGCTGAACAGACAAGACACTAGTAATGAAACTGAATGAGTAACCAAAAAACTCTCAAAAAACAAAAGTCCCTGACCAAATGGCTCCACAGGTAAATTCTACCAAATTTTTAAAGACAAGTTAATATCTATTCTCCTCAAACTATTCCAAAAAATAGAAGAGAAAGGAAAACTTCCAAAAACATTATAAATGTATTCTACAAAGCCAGTATTACCCTGATACCAAAACCAAAAACACTATAAAAAAAGAAAATTACAGGCCAATGCCCCTGATAAACATAGATGCAAAAATCCTCAACAAAATATTAACAAATCACATTCAACAGTATATTAAACAGATTATCCACCACGACTAAATGGGATTTACTCTGGGGATGCAAGGATAATTCAACGTTCACAAATCAAAACAAAGGTTAAATATCATATGATCATCTCAATAGATGCAGAAGAAGCATTTGACAAAATTCAACTTGAGTTCATAATTAAAACACTCAACAAAGTGGGTTTAGAGAGAACATACCTAAGTATAATAAAGGCCATACGTGAAAAACCCACAGTTAACATTATACTCAATGGTGAAAAATTGAGAGCTTTTCCCCTAAGATCAGGAACAAGACAAGAACATCCACCTTCCCCACGTTTATTCAGCATAGTACTGGAAAGCATAGCCAGAGCAATCAGACCAAAAAAGAAATACAAGACATCTAAACTGTTTAAGAAGAAGTAAAACCATCACTATTTGTAGATGATATGATACTATACGTAGAAAACCCTAAAGATCCATCAAAATTCTATTAACATAAATAAATTCAGTAAAGTTGTAGCATAAAAAGTTAATACACAGAAATCTGTTGCATTTTTATACACTAATAGCAAAGTAGGAAAAATAGAAATTAAGAAAACAAAACCATTTACAGTTACACCAAAAATCTTGTACTCTGAAAACTATAAAACATTAATGAAAGAAACTGAAGATAGAAAAAAGAAATGGAATATTACCATGCTCATAGACTAGAAGAATTAACATTGTTGAAAATGTCCATACTACCCAAGCTATCTACAGATTCAATGCAATCCTATCAAAATACCAACAGCATTTTTCTCAAAACTAGAATAAATAATACTACAATTTGTATGGAACCACAAAAGACCTAAAAGCCGAAGCAATCTTGAGAAAGAACAAAGCTGGAGGTATCACAATCCTAGATTTCAAGATAAACTACAAAGCTGTAATAATCAAAATAGTATGGAACTGGCACAAAAATATGTAGTAGATCAGTGAAACAGAACACAGAGTCCAGAAATAAACCCATGCTTAATGGACAATTAATCTATGACAAGGAGGCAAGAATATGCAATGGGAAAGTCTCTTCAGTAAATGACGCTGGGTAAACTGAACATCTATGTGCAAAAGAATGAAAGGGTATCACTTCTTATACCATACAAAAATAAATTCAAAATGGATTAAAGACCTAAATGTGAGACCTGAAACCATAAAACTCCTAGAAGAAAATGCAGGCAGTAATTTCTTTGACATAAGCTTTAGCAACATTTTTCTGGATATGTCTCCTCTTGGAATAGGAACAAAAGCAAAATAAACTATTGGGATTTCACCAAAATAAAAAGCTTTTGCACAGTGAATGAAACAATCAACAAAACGAAAAGGTAACCTATTGAATGGGGGAAGATATTTGCAGATGATATATCCAATAACAGATTAATAGCAAAAATATGTAAAGAACTTATATGACTCAACACCAAAAACAAACAAACAAACAATTAAATGGGCATTAAGTCCAATTAAAAATGGGCAGAGGACCTGAATAGACACATTTCCAAAGAAAATATATAGATGGCAAACCGACACACCAAGTTATTCAACATCACCAATCATCAGGGAAATCAAATCAAAACCATGAGATATCAGTTACACCTGTCAGGTCACCTGGACTCAAAGACAAGAAATAACAAGTGTTGGTGAGGATGTGGAGAAGCAGGAACACTTGTGCACAGTGGGTGCAACCACTGTGGAAAACAGCATGGAGGTTTTTCAAAAAATTAAAATGAAAATACCATACGATTCAGTAACTCTATTACTGAATATTGACCCAAAGAAAATGAAAACGCTAATTGGAAAAGATATATGCACCTCTATGTTCATTGCGGCATTATTTACAGTAGTCAGGGTATAGGAACAACCCAAGTGTCCATGGATAGATGAAGGAATATAGATGTTATATATATATATATATCTATATATATATATATATATATATATCACATATCATGTATCATAAATATGTGATAGAATATTACTCATCCGTAAAAATGATTGAGATCTTGCTATTTTTGACAACATGGATAGACCCAGAGGATATTATGCCAAATGAAATCAGTCAGACTAAGAAAGACAAATATCATATGATTTCACTTAGATGTGGACTCTGAAAAAACAAAAAAGAAAAAATAGACCCATAAATACAAAGAACAAACTGATTGTTGCTGGAGGGGAGAGGTAGGGGGATAGGCAAAATGGTTGAAGGGGAGTAAGAGATAAAGACTTTCAATTATGGAATGATTAAGTCACAGGCATAAAATGTACAGCATGGGGAATATAATCAATGTTATTTAATAGCATTTTATGGCAAAAGATAGTAGTTACACTTGTGGTGAGCAGGGCATAACATATGGACCTTTCAAATCACTGTGTATACCTGAAACTAATGTACTACTGTGTGTCACCTATACTTCAATTTAAAAATATATACATACACAGAGGCACACACACACACACACACACACACACACACACACACACGATAGTAATTCTAAAGGGGGAAAAAAGCAGTCTCATTTTCTTCCAGTGACCCCATGTATGTCATGATACTATCAAAGAAAAAATATTTTAGTACATTTTCTATTATTTACAAATAGACATAATTTTTCATTTAATAACTACTGGTCAGGAGGACTCTCTTACCTTTTAAAGGGCACAGCATTTTTCAGAACAGTCTCCACTTCCACAATATTTGCTCTGGCAAGATCTGCCACAGTAAGATAGCCAGAAGCATAGAAGAACCTGGCTCGCTGTGCATTAAGTAAAGACACCCGGACCAGGTCACACAGCTCCCTCTGGATGCCAAATGTAAGACGCTTCTGAAATTGGGAAAGTAGTAGTTCCATGTTGTGCCAGCCGAGGCGGTTGGAAAATACTGTAATCATCCCTACAATAATCATAGAATATTTATGAAATTAAAAATTCTTGGGCTTCCTGGATGGCTCAGTTGGTTGAGCGCCTGACTTCACTCCGGTCACAATCTCTCAGTTTGTGGGTTCTAGACCCACATGGGGCTCTGTGCTGACAGCCTGGAGCCTGGATCCTGCTTTGGATTCTGTCTCCTTCTCTCTTTGCCCCTCCCCCATTCACACTCTGTCTCTCTCTCTCTCTCTCTCTCTCAAAAATAAACATTAAAAACACGTTCAAAAATTCTTTTAAAAATTCTTTATAAATAATTCTCTATTTCTTTAGACACTTTTGTCTTGCTGTATCTTTTGTTTTGTTTTGTTTTGTTTTGTTTTGTTTTGTTTTGTTTTGTTTTACCAGCAGAATCGTAAACTTTAAGAGGCACAAAGGCACAAAGTGTATGTTAACAGGCGAGTAGACACATGTTCAGGGCCTAGCTAATTGGTCAATAAAAGGGGTAAACACATTGTCATCCCATTTATTCTTAATCATGAACTTGATATTTGAAAAAACTGAGGCAGAGCATGTTAACACAAAATACACAAAAAGCCCTCACTCTAGTTCATTCCTCTCATTCTCTCTTCCTTCCTTTCTTTTTTTAAGGAAGAGAGAACTCTTTAAAACAGGTGAGGTACTCTTTCATCTAGAGCAAAATAAGAAAATAAGAGAGATGATTTAAATATTCAAGTGCTGAGAGGAGTACAAAAAGTGAAGCTCCTATTGATATTTTCTTGAAGGAAAGGTTGCCCAACTTAATAGCTATTACCTCATGAGATAAAGAGGCCAGAAGAGCCAATGTCAAGGCATTAATATAATCACTTCCCTATGAGAACATTAATCCTACAGGCAATTTGAGATCCTTCATGCCAGTGAGTTGAAGTCTCCAGCCCCTCCTACAATCTTTTTCTCAGTACTCTCATATATGCACACACCTTCACAATGAAACCTCCTACACATACAAATCCACACTCTCTCCAGCAGCCCAGGGTTTCCTTCCTAAGAGTTTGTAAGGATTTCTTGGTAAAATCAGACCCAGAACTTCCCTGTTTGCCTAGCTTACAGATAGGGGTTTAATTTTATTAAGGGCAGACCAGTGTTTCCTTAGAGGAGAGATATTTAGAACAGTCTACCAGATATACAGAAATTCCTCTGTAATAGCCATCCTCCTACTCAATAACAAATATTAATCAGCAACTTGATGAGAAAGGGGAGGCCATTGAGAACTTTGGGTCTACTTCCTGCAACAGTGAAAACATAAAAAGTAAAAAAAAAAAAATAAAAAGGAGGATGCTTAGCAGGTGGCTAAGCAATGGAGGGAGACTAAGATCCAGACACTCAGCTAGCTGCCAACTGCCAATCCTCTGGAGCAGGGTGAGAAGCCATAATTTTAGGGGTTCTTATGAGGACAAACACACACAATTATGACTTTACATGATCCCGTCATTTTTAGAGAAGCCTAAAATAAATGGAATATGAAAAAAAGTAATTTTAACTTGATCTCAAACTACAGAACCTCAAATAAATGTGGAAACCCTTGTTTAACTGACCTGCATAAACAGCTGCTGACTGTTGTAAGGATTGAATCTGTCCACGACTGCATCCATATTTCTGATTTATTTCCTTTAAGGGAACTTCACTGATTAAGTCTAATAGCACAAGACTGGTAAAAAACCTGGAAAGTAAATCACCAAAAGTGTGGTAAGAGATTACTTATGCCTACAATGAAGATATAGCATATGCTGGGAAACAAGAAAGAATCAAAAAGGCAAGTGAAGATTTATACACTGTGAGAAGATTCCTAGTTAGGATATAGGACTAGTGGACAAAGACTGAGCTCAATGTTGGTCAAATAAATCCTGATATACATTAGTACTATAGCATAGCAAGGAACCTAATACCTATATAACAAAAAGAGCTCCTCCATATTTCAATACTGCTAACTAATTTCAAGAAATAAGACTTGGTTCAAGAAATATAATGGCACAATAATTTAAAAGACCATCTGATACATAGTTACATGATCATCTATTCATATTTCAAAAAAATGATATAATTTCATAATAAAAACCAGTTTTGACTTGAAAGGTCCTAGTGGCACAAATAATCCAAGTATATAAATCCTTACAAAATTCACACTCGATTATGTTGTAAGTAATATACTAGATACTAGCACTAAGAAAAATAATTTTATTAGATTTTAAAGAAGCTAAATGATTCAATTTCCCCATCTGAATTTTTTTTATTTATTTTTTGTATTTTTTTATTTTTTATTTTTTTTTCCTCTTTTTTCTTTTTTTTTATTTATATATGAAATTTATTGTCAAATTGGTTTCCATACAACACCCAGTGCTCATCCCAAAAGGTGCCCTCCTCAATACCCATTACCCACCCTCTCCTCCCTCCCACCCCCCATCAACCCTTAGTTTGTTCTCAGTTATCAACAGTCTCTCATGCTTTGGCTCTCTCCCACTCTAACCTCTTTTTTTTTTTTTTTTCCTTCCCCTCCCCCATGGGTTCCTGTTAAGTTTCTCAGGATCCACATAAGAGTGAAACCATATGGTATCTGTCTTTCTCTATATGGCTTATTTCACTTAGCATCACACTCTCCAGTTCCATCCCCGTTGCTACAAAAGGCCATATTTCATTTTTTCTCATTGCCACGTAGTATTCCATTGTGTATATAAACCACACTTTCTTTATCCATTCATCAGTTGATGGACATTTAGGCTCTTTCCATAATTTGGCTATTGTTGAGAGTGCTGCTATGAACATTGGGGTACAAGTGCCCCTATGCATCAGTACTCCTGTGTCCCTTGGATAAATTCCTAGCAGTGCTATTGCTGGGTCATAGGGTAGGTCTATTTTTAATTTTCTGAGGAACCTCCACACTGCTTTCCAGAGCGGCTGCACCAATTTGCATTCCCACCAACAGTGCAAGAGGGTTCCCGTTTCTCCACATCCTCTCCAGCATCTATAGCCTCCTGATTTGTTCATTTTGGCCACTCTGACTGGCGTGAGGTGATACCTGAGTGTGGTTTTGATTTGTATCTCCCTGATGAGGAGCGACGCTGAACATCTTTTCATGTGCCTGTTGGCCATCCGGATGTCTTCTTTAGAGAAGTGTCTATTCATGTTTTCTGCCCATTTCTTCACTGGGTTATTTGTTTCTCGGGTGTGGAGTTTGGTGAGCTCTTTATAGATTTTAGATACTAGCCCTTTGTCCGATATGTCATTTGCAAATATCTTTTCCCATTCCGTTGGTTGCCTTTTAGTTTTGTTGGTTGTTTCCTTTGCTGTGCAGAAGCTTTTTATCTTCATAAGGTCCCAGTAATTCACTTTTGCTTTTAATTCCCTTGCCTTTGGGGATGTGTCGAGTAAGAGATTGCTACGGCTGAGGTCAGAGAGGTCTTTTCCTGCTTTCTCCTCTAAGGTTTTGATGGTTTCCTGTCTCACATTCAGGTCCTTGATCCATTTTGAGTTTATTTTTGTGAATGGTGTGAGAAAGTGGTCTAGTTTCAACCTTCTGCATGTTGCTGTCCAGTTCTCCCAGCACCATTTGTTAAAGAGACTGTCTTTTTTCCATTGGATGTTCTTTCCTGCTTTGTCAAAGATGAGTTGGCCATACGTTTGAGGGTCTAGTTCTGGGGTTTCTATTCTATTCCATTGGTCTATGTGTCTGTTTTTGTGCCAATACCATGCTGTCTTGATGATGACAGCTTTGTAGTAGAGGCTAAAGTCTGGGATTGTGATGCCTCCTGCTTTGGTCTTCTTCTTCAAAATTACTTTGGCTATTCGGGGCCTTTGTGGTTCCATACAAATTTTAGGATTACTTGTTCTAGCTTCAAGAAGAATGCTGGTGCAATTTTGATTGGGATTGCATTGAATGTGTAGAAAGCTTTGGGTAGAATTGACATTTTGACAATATTTATTCTTCCAATCCATGAGCATGGAAAGTTTTTCCATTTCTTTATATCTTCTTCAATTACCTTCATAAGCTTTCTATAGTTTTCAGCATACAGATCTTTTACATCTTTGGTTAGGTTTATTCCTAGGTATTTTATGCTTGTTGGTGCAATTGTGAATGGGATCAGTTTATTTGTCTTTCTGTTGTTTCATTATTAATGTATAAGAATGCAACTGATTTCTGTACATTGATTTTGTATCCTGCAACTTTGCTGAATTCATGTATCAGTTCTAACAGACTTTTGGTGAAGTCTATCTGGTTTTCCATGTATAATATCATGTCATCTGCAAAAAGTGAAAGCTTGACTTCTTCATTGCCAATTTTGATGCCCTTTGATTTCCTTTTGTTGTCTAATTGCTGATGCTAGCACTTCCAACACTATGTTAAACAACAGCAGTGAAAGTGGACATCTCTGTCATGTTCCTGATCTCAGGGAGAAAGCTGTCAGTTTTTCCCCATAGAGGATGATATTAGCTGTGGGCTTTACATAAATGGCTTTTTTGATGTTTAAGTATGTTCCTTCTATCCCGACTTTCTCGAGGGTTTTTATTAAGAAACGATGCTGAATTTTGTCAAATGTTTTTTCTGCATCGATTGACAGGATCATATGGTTCTTATCTTTTCTTTCATTAATGTGATGTATCACATTGATTGACTTGCGAATGTTGAACCAGCCCTACAGCCCAGGAATGAATCCCACTTGATCATGGTGTATAATTCTTTTTATATGCTGTTGAATTCAATTTGCTAGTATCTTATTGAGAATTTTTGCATCCATCCATCATCATCATCAGGGATATTGGCCTGTAGTTCTCTTTTTTTGCTGGGTCTCTGTCTGGTTTAGGAATCAAAGTACTGCTGGCCTCATAGAATGAGTCTGGAAGTTGTCCTTCCCTTTCTAGTTTTTGTAATAGCTTGAGAAGGATAGGTATTATCTCTGCTTTAAATGTCTGGTAGAATTCCCCTGGGAAGCCATCTGGTCCTGGACTCTTACTTGTTGGGAGATTTTTGACAACTGATTCAATTTCTTTGCTGGTTATGGGTCTGTTCAAGTTTTCTATTTCTTCCTGATTGAGTTTTGGAAGTGTGTGGGTGTTTAGGAATTTGTCCATTTCATCCAGTTGTCCAGTTTGTTGGCATATAATTTTTTATAGTATTCCCTGATAATTGCTTGTATTTCTGAGGGACTGGTTGTAATAATTCCATTTTCATTCATGATTTTATCCATTTGGGCCATCTCCCTTTTCTTTTTGAGAAGCCTGGCTAGAGGTTTATCAATTTTGTTTATTTTTTCAAAAAACCAACTCTTGGTTTCATTGATCTGCTCTACAGTTCTTTTAGATTCTATATTGTTTATTTCTGCTCTGATCTTTATTATTTCTCTTCTTCTGCTGGGTTTGGGTGTCTTTGCTGTTCTGCTTCTATTTCCTTTAGGTGTGCTGTTAAGATTTTGTAATTGGGTTTTTTTTGTTTCTTGAGATAGACCTGGATTGCAATGTATTTTCCTCTCAGGACTGCTTTTGCTGCATCCCAAAGCGTTTGGATTGTTGTATTTTCATTTTCATTTGTTTCCATATATTTTTTAATTTTTTCTCTAATTGCCTGGTTGACTCATTCATTCTTTAGTAGGATGTTCTTTAACCTCCATGCTTTTGGAGGTTTTCCAGACTTTTTCCTGTGGTTGATTTCAAGCTTCATAGCATTGTGGTCTGAAAATATGCATGGTATGATCTCAATTCTTTTATACTTAAGAAGGGCTGTTTGTGACCCAATATGTGATCTATCTTGGAGAACGTTCCATGTGCACTCGAGAAGAAAGTATATTCTGTGCTTTGGGATACAGAGTTCTCAATATATCTGTCAAGTCCATCTGATCCAATGTATCATTCAGGACCCTTGTTTCTTTATTGATCCTGTGTCTAGATGATCTATCCATTGTTGCAAGTGAAGTATTAAAATCCCCTGCAATTACCACATTCTTATCAATAAAGTTGCTTATGTTTGTGAGTAATTGTTTTATATATTTGGGGGCTCCCGCATTCGGTGCATAGACATTTATAATTGTTAGCTCTTCCTGATGGATAGACCCTGTGATTATTATATAATGCTCTTCTTCATCTCTTGTTACAGCCTTTAATTTAAAGTGTAGCTTGTCTGATATAAGTATGGCTACTCCAGCTTTCTTCTGACTTCCAGTAGCATGATAGATAGTTCTCTATCCCCTCACTTTCAATCTGAAGGTGTCCTCAGGTCTAAAACGAGTCTCTTGTAAACAGCAAATAGAAGGGTCTTGTTTTTTTATCCATTCCATTACCCTATGTCTTTTGATTGGAACATTTAGTCCATTTACATTCAGTGTTATTATAGAAAGATACGGGTTTAGAGTCATTGTGATGTCTGTAGGTTTCATGCTTGTAGTGATGTCTCTGGTACTTTGTGGTCCTTGCAACATTTCACTCACAGAATCCCCCTTAGGATCTCTTTGTAGGGCTGGTTTAGTGGTGATGAATTCCTTCAGTTTTTGTTTGTTTGGGAAGACCTTTATCTCTCCTTCTATTCTCAAAGACAGACTTGCTGAATATAGGATTCTTGGCTGCATATTTTTTCTGTTCATCACATTGAAGATTTCCTGCCATTCCTTTCTGGCCTGCCAAGTTTCAGTAGATAGATCTGTCACTAATCTTATCGGTCTCCCTTTATATGTTAGAGTGTGTTTATCCCTAGCTGCTTTCAGAATTTTCTCTTTATCTTGTATTTTGCCAGTTTCACTATGCTATGTCCTGCGGAAGATTGATTCAAGTTACATCTGAAGGGAGTTCTCTGTGCCTCTTGGATTTCAATGCCTTTTTCCTTCCCCAGATCAGGGAAGTTCTCAGCTATGATTTGTTCAAGTACACCTTCAGCCCCTTTCTTTTTCTCTTCCTTCTCTGGAATTCCTATTATACAGCTATTGTTGTGTTTCATTGCATCATTCAGTTCTCTAATTCTCCCCTCATACTCCTGGATTTTTTTTTTTTATCTCTCTTTTTCTCAGCTTCCTCCTTCCATAATTTTAACTTCTAATTCACCTATTCTCTCCTCTGCCTCTTCAATCTGAGCTATGGTCACCTCCATTTTATTTTACACTTCATTTATAGCATTTTTTAGCTCCTCCTGACTGTTTCTTAGTCCCTTGATCTCTGTAGCAATAGATTCTCTGCCGTCCTCTATACTTTTTTTCAAACCCAGCGATTAATTTTATGACTATTATTTTAAATTCATGTCCGGGTGCCTGGGTGGCGCAGTCGGTTAAGCGTCCGACTTCAGCCAGGTCACGATCTCGCGGTCCCTGAGTTCGAGCCCCGCGTCAGGCTCTGGGCTGATGGCTCGGAGCCTGGAGCCTGTTTCCGATTCTGTGTCTCCCTCTCTCTCTGCCCCTCCCCCATTCATGCTCTGTTTCTCTCTGTCCCAAAAATAAATAAAAACGTTGAAAAAAAATTTTTAAATTCACGTTCCGTTATATTGCTTAAATCATTTTTGATCAAATCGTTAGCTGTTGCTACTTCCTGGAGTTTATTCTATGTCTCCCTCTCTCTCTACCCCTCCCTTGCTCACACTCTGTCCCCCTCTCTCTCTCAAAAAAAATAATAATAGTAATAATTTTAAAAATATCAAAAAGATTGAGGTTCTAGTTTATAAATTAAGTAGTGGGTCCACAGGTATTCATTTTATTAATATGCATAAGTTATATATAATAAAAATATCCTGTATGCTTATATATACACATATATTTTAAAATTTATTTATGTCCATGTAATGAAAATTTTAAATAAATTGAAAAGATTAAATTCCTAATTTTAGGAACTATATATTCTTAATCATATTCTTAGTACATATAATCATGGACAAACCACTCTCTGAAAGAAGTTTTTAGTTCAGTGACTGTATAATCCTTGCAATTTTGACCTGTTTTATTTTTAAACACTTCTAGTGCTCTCAAAATACAATATGACAATTTCTAAAATTAATTTGATTTTGATATATTTGTAAGTATATTTCAATACCCCTTAAGATAAAAGGAAACACTCAGAGTAGCATAAAATTAGGGTAGCAAATACCTGTCTAACCTAAATTTTAAGAAAACATAATGTAGAAAGGTAACAATTATAGAATTCACTTCTCCAAGGGAACAAAAAAGCCTTTATGTAGTTTTATATACTATGCAGATAAGTAAACTAAACATGTTTTATTCTTGTTTAATCTTAATCACACAATTTCTTAAAATGAAATCTAAGAGTATTAGACTGACAAGAAATCAAATGCACACAAATATAAATGTGAAGGAATTATGAGGATATCTGGAGGGGGCTTCTTAATAACAGATTACAAATATGGATACCTGCATGATGAAATGCTACTCCCCAAGGTATAGTTTTTTGTAATACAGAGTCCAGTCCTGAAGGTGAACGTTTTAACTGATCCATCACTTCTAGTAGACTCTTTTGTTCCAGTACCACCGGTGGAAGTTCAGATGATCTTACCAATCCTGTCACAGAAAAATTATCAACACTGTTCACCTCTGGATAGACCTCCTTAAGTGCTATCTGCCTAAGTCAGGACAGAGCTAAATATCAGGGCAATGGTTCTAAAATTACCATATATAATAATTAGCTGAACATCTTTTAAAAATACTGATGGCTGGCTCTCATTCCTGGCCATTGAGATGTAATAGGATGCAACCTGGACATTAGGAATTTTTAAATCTCCCAGATGATTCTAATGTGCACCAAAGTTTAGAAAGCACTGTAGTAGAGTGAGACCAAGCCCACAAGAGGGGACAAAGGACCCAGCTAAGGAAGGAGAGGATTACAGATACTACCACTCAGAGCCTAAAAATCAAAATCCTTACTCATCAGTATACTCTCACACAATAGGCATCCTTGAGTCTCAAGTAGGAGCCCAAGAAATGGCATTCCAAATAGGAAATGGTCATAGAGGAGATGATGGGAGAGAGAGAAAACAAACTTAACAGAACGCCAATAGACTTAATACTGACCAATAATAATTCTAGATTCTCCACTTATAATTCTAGTAATGACAGCCTTTAAATTCTCTGAAAATCATTTTATGTACCAGTTTTTGCAAGGATGTGGATCACCTTGTGCATAATTGCCCCCATGCAAAAGTCAGATATATTAAATTGCAAAACAGAAAATTCAGCGGACCATTTGGTATAGGTATAGGTATATAAAATCTAGTTTTAAATAACTGTAAGTGTTTGTATATGGTAGAGAATACTCGGAAATGTCATTTTCTTTGTGAGAAGGCGCTAAGCCTTTGAAACCAGCATTACTTGATATCAGACTAAATGTCTTGTTTGAATAAAAAGACTGAAAGGAAGGATGAATAAAAAGCAAATATAGAATGTCCCCCTAAAGGTTCAGAAAAATGGAAGTGCCAATGCTCAATAAAAATGATTAAAATGTGTGCAAAAAAAAAAAAAAAAAAATCCTTGCTCAAAGTGTGTCCCACCAACCAGCAGTGTCAGAACCACTTAGGAACCTATTTCTGTGTGACAATTATTCTAGCCTATTTGCCACTAATGTGGTAATTAATCACACATTACCTTCTGTTTTTGTCTCTCTGTGTAACCTGCTCCCTTATTAAGTAAGACCTCAACTTTTTTAGGTGTAGGAACTATGTTTTCTTTAAAGAATCTCCCAAACTTTTGGATTTCTGAACTAGCAAATTTCTCATAAGATATATTTTTAATATAGCTTCTATTTCCTAATTAAAAAAATATTTTAGGTAAACTTTTCTTAAAATTTTAAAGACTCCGAGGGGCGCCTGGGTGGCTCAGTTGGCTGGGCATCCAACTTCAGCTCAGGACATGATCTCGTGGTCCGTGAGTTCGAGCCCCACGTTGGACTCCATGCTGACAGCTCAGAGCGTGGAGCCTGCTTTGGATTCTGTGTCTCCCTTTCTCTGGCCCTCCCCCGCTCACACTCTGTCTCAGTCTCTTTCTCAAAAATAAATAAACATTAAAAAAAAATTGGGGGGCACTGGGTGGCTCAGTCGGTGGAGCGTCCGACTTTGGCTCCGATCATGATCTCACAGCTTGTGAGTTCAAGCCCCACGTTGGGCTCTGTGCTGACAGCTCAGAGCCTGGAACCTGCTTTGGATTCGTGTCTCCCTCTCTCTCTGCCCCTAACCCACTCACATTCTGTTTCTGTCTCTCTCAAAAATAAATAAACATTTTAAAAAAACGTTTTTTTATTAAAAAAAATTTTTAAAGACTCAGAGAGGCTTGTCAATGTTTTATTATGCTAAGTACAATTAAACATTTTTTTAAAACTACCATTGATTGATACCTTTATTTCCGAAGAAAAGTCATCTTAACATAAAAGAAATTAGTAGGGATAATTTCAGAATTTAAACTTCAGCTTTACAAAAAATGTGCTGCCTTGTCTTTACTTTTCTAGTGAAAAGTTCATCATAGCCCAGGCTCCAATTTAAGCACCAGGATTTGGGAACCCTTGTGATAAATCAAAATGACAGAATCTCAAGCAAAGAAGGTAATAATAATATTTCTGTCTATCAAAGGAATTTAAGTTATTATGGTACAACATAAAGAATATAAATGGCATAGTATAGGAAACATCAATTAGGAGGGAAATAAAAGCAGTATTATAATGTTGGGCTGGAGTCTTCCCAAAATAAACTTCAAGCAAAGTTTACTTATTAGATCTAAGCTTGAGGTATCTATCACCTATCCTCATGACTGCAGTAGCATAATGAATTCATAAAATATCCTAATATTCTGTGACCAGAACTGGTTGGTCTCTGTCTTCTCTACACCTATCTTGGACCCCAAGGGACCACAGGTTAGCAAAAGTGGTGAGGGAACAGGGCTCATCCTAGAATCAGTAAGATATATACTAATGGTCATAGCTATACACTAAATTATTACTCAGCAATAAAAAAGAATCAGTTTGATAGATTTAACAACCTGGATGAATCTTAAAAATACCATGCTGAAAGAAGCCAAACATAAAACACACATACATACTATGTAATTTCATTTATATGAAATTATTAGAAAAGTCACAACTAATCTAGAGAAACAGAAAGCAGATCAGAGGTTGCCTGGGGCTAAGAATAGAGAGGAGATTGATAGCTAAAGAGCAAAGGTTACATTTTAGGATAAAATGTTCTATATGTTCATTAGAGTAGGGATTAAACAAATGTATACAATTGTTAAAATTCATTAAATTATATAATTCAAATGGGTACATTGTATTGTGTATAAATTAAACCTCAATAAAGCTGATTTTAAAATACATATGTGTTTATATACATACATATGTATATGTGTGTGATTCTTTCTTAGAGTTTGGAAATATAAAGAGAGAGATGTCTGATTTCTCCAGAAAAATGTGTACATGAAATTTTATATATAATTTAGGGGCTTCAAAGATATCTCTCAAAGCCCATGGACCCCAGATGAAGAATCTTGTATGTTTAGTAGTATGCACCTGTATAAATCCAGTATTACAAAAATCTGAAGGTTAGCCTGAGTGTATGTATACATTGTCTATAATGAGGATAAGGAGAGGAGCATAGTTTTGTAAAGGAGTGTCCAGTGGGCAGGTGGAGGCAATGATCAAAGAGAACTATACTTTATTTATACAATCATTAACATTACTTTTAAGCAAATATACTGAAAATAGAGGCTTTCATTTCCATCAGTAACTTACCCTCAGCTTGATGGTGTAGGTTATAAAACTCACGGGCAATGATATCTGCCAACTTCTCACACCATTTCTTTGATGGACAGAAAAGTAATACTGAATGGTTATCACAAACGGTCTCATAACATAAACTAACAACATGGTCCTCATCTCCCTAAAAAAGAAAGAGAAATAGTCATTTTAGTGGTCTTTCAAAACATTTCACATCAGTTTCAAGTCACTCATTTTGCTTATTGGGGAAGGTTTTTTTCTACTGAAAGGTATAATAAAAACCAGTTACAAAGTCAGTAACAAAGAAAAAGCAAGAGAAAAAAAAAAAAGAAATAAGCTGCCTTATGATGCAAGGTAATTTCAGGTAGAACAAAGTATATGTAAATGTCTAGTAGCCCAGTGAGTTCTCAAAACTGGAAGGTCAGTGTGTTTAACTGGATTAATTCATTCATTCATTCACTTGATGAACAAACATTTACTACATACCAGATACTGTTCTAGGTACTGGAGATAAAGAACAAAGCAGAAAAAAAGCTCTGCCCTCAGAATTTTACTACTCCAGTAAGAAGGGATTGATAATAACAAAAACAAGCTAAGTAAAACACACAGAATTTTGAAGAGTGCTAAAAATAAGATGGAAAATAGGGACCAGGAAAGGGAGGACATTATAATTTAGATGAGTTAGCCAGGGAAGGTCTCAGAAAGTGACATTTGAGTAAAGGTCCAAAGGTGAAAGAGTAAACCATGCTGACGAGTGGGGGGAAAGCATTCCAGACAGAGAGAACCTGAGGTAGAAGATTCTTGGTGTATCATAGAACAGCAATGTGGCTGTGGTGGGAGTGAGAAGGAATGTAGTAGGTGAGGTCAGAGCACTAAGGGGCTGGGGACAGATCACATAGGGCATTATAGGCTACCAAAAAGAGGCTGGCCTTCATTCAAAATGAAACAAGGAAGCATTCCAAGTTTGGGAACATAATGGTTATGTAATCGGATGCTCATTTAAAAAGAAAATTTTTTTAATGTTTTTATTTATTTTGGAGACAGAGAGAGAGTATGAGCAGGGGCCGGGCAGAGAGAGAGGGAGACACAGAATCTGAAGTAGGCTCCAGGCTCTGAGCTGTCAGCACAGAGCCGGATGCGGGGCTCGAACTCAGAGACTGTGAGATCATGACCTGAGCTGAAGTCAGACGCTCAACCGACTGAGCCACCCAGGCACCCCTTGGATGCTCATTTTATTTTTTTTTTTCCAACGTTTATTTATTTTTGGGACAGAGAGAGACAGAGCATGAACGGGGGAGGGGCAGAAAGAGAGGGAGACACAGAATCGGAAACAGGCTCCAGGCTCTGAGCCATCAGGCCAGAGCCCGACGCGGGGCTCGAACTCGCGGACCGCGAGATCGTGACCTGGCTGAAGTCGGACGCTTAACCGACTGCGCCACCCAGGCGCCCCTAGATGCTCATTTTAAATAGATCACTAGCTCCTGATTTAAGCATAGACTGAAAGGGAGAAGGTGGGAAATAGAAAGATCAATTAGGAGACTATTTCAATAATCCGAATAAGGGTCAAGTGATTCAAATAGGGTGGAGGCATAGACATAATAATAGAAAGAGATTAATAGGACAGTAAATAAATGTGTTTACATATATATTTCATTGAGGTAACCAAGGCACAGTCTGCTGCAGTTTGGGGTACTGAGCAAAACAACTGAATAAGATTCCATGCCAGGCATACAGAGGCTACAAATGCATACCTATGAGAGTACTGAAACGTGAATTTACTATTACCAACTCCAGCTGTTTCAGTACTCAGAGGCACAGCTCTTTATAAAATGTGAAGATGCCCCACTCCACAGATGATGAATCAGTTTTTTAATGTCAGGATTGAAAAATCAGACCTAAAAAAATACTGTGAACTAAAATTTTTTAACTGTATTTATCGGTGTGTGAGGAAATTTATCATTCATCAAACACTTCCTAGATGCCAGTTTTTTAAAACCATACTTCATTCTTACAATAAGTGTTACATCGCATTTTATAGAGGAAGACAGTACGTTCAGAGAGGTTTTGTGATTCAACTAATATCAGTCATATCAAGAATCTCTATGGAATACCAGAAATAGGTCTGACTCCAAAAATGTTTTTCCCCTTTACTATATATTATAATTACTACTTAACAAAAGTTTCATTTTCCACATTAGTATTTAGTAAGTAAACTAAACCATAAGAAAATCTTTTCCCAGTTAAAAAGAAAAATCTACAAAATTAGTTATTGCTTATTATTTATATTATTTTCTATTACTTATACTTACTGGAAATGATAATTTTTTTTTTAAGTTTGACAGAGTATAAGTGGGGGAAGGGGAGGGGCAGAGAGAGAGGGAGAGAGAGAATCTCAAGCAGACCCTGCACCGTGAACAGAGCCTGATGCAGGGCTCAAACCCAGCAACTGTGAGATCATGACCTGAACTGAAACTAAGAGTCGGACGCTTAACCACCTGAGCCACGCAGGTGCCCCACAAAACGATAATCATTTAAATTCAAGGCACAACTACATTTCCTCTCTCACCATCACCACCAGTTATTTAAGATGAAACCAATTAGCTTAATATTAAGTAATCCTTCTGGGGCACCTGGGTGGTTCAGTCAATTGAGCAATCGACTTCGGCTCAGGTCATGATCTTGTGGTTCACAGGTTCGAGCTTTGGGCTCTGTGCTGACAGCTTAGAGCCTGCTTTGGATTCTGTGTCTCCCTCTCTCTCTGCCCCTCCCCTGCTCACACTCTGACTCTCTCTCTCAAAAATAAATAAACAAAAAATTTTTTAAATAAAAAAAATATTAATAATCCTTCTGATGGTGATGTAAAGCATATTCAACTACTTTGCAACCACTAACTTATATAACTCAAAAAATGTTAACGACTTGCTAGAAAATGCAATCAAACACTGGGAATACTGATCGAAGAATACTGACTTACTTTTACTTGTAGACTGGGCTGAAATTCCCTCACAAGCTTCATTGAAGAATCATATATAGAATTTCCAATTTTTACTGACTCCAACAGTGGTACAGGACGAAAGTTGGTGTGGTAGAGTTCAGCATTTAACCAGGAAGCCACAAGCTCCAAATTAGGAAGAGTAGCACTCATGCCAACAATCTGCACGGCATTAGACAGAGGACTGGCTAAATCTGTCTGGCTGTAAAAAATAAACGAAAATGATGTTAAAAGACACATAGTGTTAATTACAAATAGTGTTGCTAACAATATTTTTGTTCATGTCCTTCAGGACATACACCAAGTCATTTTTAAGGTACACACCTAGAAATAAAATTACTGGGTTATAGCTTATCTTCAATTTTATTAATGTCAAACTGGTTTCCAGAGATGGTACCAAAGTATCTCCATAATCCATGTGTGTTTTATTGTTCACATCTTGTCACCACTTAGTAAAAAAAAAAAAAAAAAAAAGATGCCAATCTTTTTTTTCTTTTTTAATTTATTGTCAAGTTAGCTAACATACAGTGTAGTCTTGGCTTCAGGAGTGGATTCCATGATTCATCACTTACATATAACACCCAGTGCTCATCCCAACATGTACCCCCCTTAATGCCCATCACCCGTATTTTCCAACCCCCAAGCCCCCATCCCATCAACCCTTAGTTTGTTCTCTGTATTTAAGAGTCTCTTATGGTTTTCCTCCCTGTTTGTAACTTATTTTTCCCTCCCTTCCCCTATATTCATCTGTTGTGTTTCTCAAATTCCACATATGAGTGAAACCATATATCTTTCTCTAACTGACTTATTTCACTTAGCATAATACCCTCCAGTCCATCCACGTTGCTGCAAATGCCAATCTTTTTAATGTTAGCCATTTTGGAAAGTGTGTGGTAATACCCCCTTGAAGAAGTAGTTTACATTTCCTTGATTAGTAATGATATTAAGACCATTTCATGTTTATGGACCATTTGGATACCATCTTATAAATGCCTGTTGAAGGTGCTTGCCCATTGATGTATTGGGTTTTTTCTTCTTGATCATAGAAGTGTGTGAATGTTCTAGATAATAACTTTCCTCTTTCAATAAGTTTTGCTCTTGTCTTTAATTCTTTCCTTCTACTTTCTGTGGCATTATTTTACTATTCTTTTTCTAAGTTCTTGAGATGAATAATGCATTAATTTTTCAGTCTCTCTTCTTTAATAATATATGCACTTTATACTATCAAGTTCCCTTTAAACTTTAGCTACATTTCAAAAGTTTTGTTAGGAGATATGCCTTCAAACTATCTTCCAATTTCTACTGTGATTACTTTTTTGACCCAATAATGGGTCAAAATGTTTTTCCCAATTTCCAGTGTGAATTTTCTAGTCATGCCTCTCCTATATTTATTTCTAGTTGAATCCCATTTGTCAGAGAATAGATTTTAAGTGACTTAAACCCTTTAAAATATATTGCTTTATGGCTCAGCATTAGTACAAATTTACTATGTTCATTGAAAGGAACATTCTGCTTTTATTTGGTAATTCTTCTACATACATCCATTAGGTCAAATTTGGTAATTGTATTAGTCACATCTTCTATATCCCTACTGCTTTAAGATATAGATGATTATCTCCATGTTTTCTCATATACTGCAAAAGGTGTTAAAATCTCCCTAGACTGAAACATAAGAGCTCCCAGATTGAAAGAATCTATTGAGTACTAAGTACAATGAACAAAAATGGAACACGAAGACACATCAGCATGAAATTTCACAACACTGAGGAATAAAAGGAGTCCTAAAAACTCCCAGAGAGAATTAAAACATTTTATACAAAGGACAAAGGATAAGCATGGCATGGGATTTCTCAACACTAACAAGAAAATGAAGTAATGTCTTAAAAACTCTAAAGGAAATCTTGACTTTTATACCTGGACAATCTATGAAATAGCTATAAAACATTTCAGACATGAAAATTTTCCAAAAAATCACATGCGTAATAGCCTGTACACTAAAATAAAGTGGATTTTCCTGAAAGATGTCCTCACCAAAATGAGGAAAACATAAATTATCCAAAAAAGGGGTGCTCTGATTCAAGCAAAAAGTAATAGGAATGAATGATAATGATAAAGAAAGATCCTAAAATGAGTGCTGTGCAGCACATACATATATAGTTTACCTACCTATCCAGATTGGAACAGTTCAGAAGGCTTTTGGAGAAACTTCAAGAAGATGAATTTGGTATAATAGCAAATGTGTTAAAACATATTGGATGAAAATTTACATACGTGGGAAAGAGGCTGGAGGTCAATCAGTGATAAGGACATAGAAAACCAAACCATTAGGGTGCCTGGGTGGCTCAGTCGGTTGAGCGTCCCACTCTTGATTTCAGTTCAGGTCATAATCCCAGGATTGTGGGATGGAGTCCTGCATCAGATTCCATGCTGAGCATGGAGTCTGCTTAAGATTCCCTCTCTCCCTCCCTCTCCTCTTCTCTCCAGTTCACACACTCACATAATAAATACAAAATAAAAGAAAAACAACAACAAAACACAGGCCATCAAACAAATAAAAAAAAAAACATTTATTAATTTCAGAGAAAATAAAACATTATTTAGAAAGTAAAAGTAGTCACAATATATACTACATGGCTCAGTTGGCAATGGCATGTATAGTCCTAACAGCGTAACACTAAATATTGATCTGAGCAAAATTATGACATAACAGTATTTGGAGAATGGGAAGGTGATGAGAAGATAGAGACTGTGGGGTGGAGGGGAGGTGATGGGAGACTCGGTTGGGTAAGTAAAGAACACAAAAAAGAGCTAGGATTTGAAGGGGCACATGTACCCCAATGTTTATAACAGCACTATCAACAATAGCTAAATTATGGAAAGAGCCCAAATGTCCATCGACCGACAAACGAATAAAAAAGATGTGTTTTATATATATATATATACATATATATATATATACACATATACATACAATAGAATATTACTTGGTGATCAAAAAGAATGAAATCTTGCCATTTACAACAGTATGCTAAATGAAATAAATCAGGCAGAAAAAAAACTATCATATGATTTCACTCATATGTAGGATTTAAGAAACAAAACAGATGAACATAGGGGAAGGAAGGAAAAATAAGATAAAAATAGGGGGAGGCAAACCATAAGAGACTCTTAAATACAGAAAACAAACTGAAGGTTGCTGGAGGGGAGGTAGGTGGGGAGACGGGCTAAATGGGTAATGGGCATTAAGGAGGGCACTTGTTGGAATGAGCACTGGGGGTTATATATAAGTGATGAATCACTAAATTCTATTCCTGAAACCATTCTTATACTATATGTTAACTAACTTGGATTTAAAGAAAAGTAAAAAATAAATACATACATACATACTGAAATGAGAAAAAAAGAGCTAGATCTTCATCTTCCACAGTAAGTAATCAATATAAACTGTAAAACTAAAAACTCAAGTGGTTACATTTAGAGATAACACTGTAAATAATTGTTTTTAAAGCTATGAGAGTTGAAAGTATTTACCTCTGATAAGTGGAGGATGAAGAAATGCTATTTTTCAAAATTAGCTTTGACTACTTAAATACAATGAATGTATAACTGACAAATACAAAAACTAGATTTTTAAAATTTTATCATAAAAATGGTGAGTAGTCAGAAATTTTTAAATGTTTACAAAATAAAATCACTCTCAGTCTTATGTACTTCTTTTGGAATAAAAACTAACTGCTATACATGAGTTTGTTCTAAATAGGTACTATTCTACTTCTTTAATTTATTTAATTCATACCTATTTTGCAGACCCTTTCTCAACATTGCTAGAATCTCAGGAACTCAGTTATTTCAGGTACTTACCAAGATGCTGACTTATGAGTAATATAGCAAATCTTAGTCAGCAAAAGTTCCAGCAGATACCCTCGGTGAGAGTCTCCCAGCATATGCAATTCATCCACAACCACCATTCCTAGATTTTACAAAATTTCACAATTTCAAGAAAAATTTTAAAAGACCCAATATCTTATACAGTAAGTAGCTGTCATTACTATAATATATTGCAGGTGATACAAATTTCTAACCCTAACACAAAAATTAGATTTCACATAGTAGATGATCCTTTTTCAAGACATTTCAGGTATCATAAGTGGTCCTACTATAAGTATTCTGGATCTAAAAATCAATGATTAGCTAAATCAGGGCTAACTCAGAGAAAACTGCCTCTTATTACTCAGACACTTCTTTATTGGCAACCTTGTAGAAATGTATGTACAATGAGACATCAAATACATTTATGACAGTTATTCAGTGTATTGACTTTTCTATGGGGGAAAACAGCCAGGGCAACCATACTGATGTTAGGAAGTTGCTTAGAAAAACAAGATCAGATCAAGAAGAAAGAAGTGATTTTAAGAAATGTTTTTGTTGGAAGTGATAGGCTAGTGAATCACCCTACTACAAAACATAAATATGACCGTAATTCCCTTCTCCACTACTTAGTGAATTAAACCAGTCTGTGCACTTGGAATAGTGCTCAAGAATTATTGAAAATTTAGTATCAACCAACACCTCCTTTAAAGGTCATCATGTCATGGTTTTCACAGGCGATGGTATCCTCCCTACAAATCTTGCCCACCAAAATCAAGATCTTTCAGGTCTATTTCCTAATGGCATGATGTTCCTTTTCCTCATTGGTAAGCTATCTCAAAATCATAGGCATGATAAGTTATTTCAACATTTTATTCACTCACTCATTCAAAAAGTATTTATTCTCCCTAGTGTGCCAGGCACTGTGCTCAATATATTAGATATAAGACTTAATAAGATTCTATTGCAATCCTCAACATATTTATAATCCAATTGGATCACAAGTAATAAGACAATTCTGATACAAATTGGTGAATGTGATTTCTCTAAGCTTTATAGAGCAGAGCCATGTCTTATTAATCTTTGATTTCACTCCTCACTCCTACCCTACTCCTACTTTACCATTTAAGTTCACCAGGATCTCAATGAATAGCTAACTGATATTCCTGCTGCTTCTGTTGCTGCTACAACCATTCTCTTCCTGTTGCTATCTCTACATAGACTTTCCTAAGAGGTTATTAAAGAAAAAAAAAAGTATTAAGGTAGAAAATCTTCCTAGAGTCCTAAGTTCAAATACAGTGTCAGCTTCTACAGCTCCCTATCATTTCCCTGCTAAATGGTAGCCTCTGAGAAGAGGCCAAATCTAGACATCTTAGCATTAGAACATGATAATGAATATACATACACAGTAACTGTGGATATGACAGAACCAGCCCCAGCATGCTTCCTTCTATTCTTGGTAAAGTTTAGACAGAAGAGAAATAATGAGAAATGACTTGAGGGCTCAAGGATATCCTCTATGTTTTGTAAAGTATATACAAGGAAATAGTCAATTAACAGCAGCAGGACCCAATTTTTTTTTTTTTACACAGAGTTCCTAACATTACAGATGCCAATTCTCAACTTCGGAAATAGATGATGATAGACAGTAAGAAAAAACATGGGAAATGTAGAAATCACAAAAGCTCCACTCCATTCCAACAAAAAATGGCAACAGAAAGTATTTGCTTATTTCCTACTTTTCTTACCTAATAGGTCCATCTTATTTTCCTCTATAAGGCGATTGATTAGACCATTGGCTCTCTCAATGGTGCAGACAGCAATATCCAAGGAAGAGAAACGCCTTGTGGGGGAGGCGCTGCCCATATAACCGTCCACATTTATTCCTACTTCCTGAAACAGACTCTGAATTGAGTAAAAAGGAACAATACAGGTAAAAATATTTGAAATTCATGGATTGTAGATTGGTTCTATTCCACGATACAGACATAAGTATCAAAAGATATTTATTAGATTACTGTTGGTTGTTCCTAGCCAGGATACACTGGTTCTTTTTAGAATCATATACTAAAAATATGAAGTTTAGAACTGACAAAACTCAGAACAGAGATTTTCTGTTAAGACAAAGCCAAATAAAATTAAGTATGCCATTTTAATGATAGCATTAAGGCAGCATTTCCTAGAGCTATTTATAGAAATTAAAATTGGGGGGAAAAAACTACCTTAAGCACTAAATTTTTATTCTAAAAACATGCAAGAAACTAGGTCTTTTTTTAAACACTAATGTAACACTTTAAGAAACAAATTTATACTTCATGAAAAAAATATTCTTACTATCCCACTAATTTTTTATACAATGGAAGTTTTCAAAAGTCAAATGCAGTGGGACTTTGATGTTAATTTTCTTTTAGTTTAAATTGTAACTAACATACCTTCTTAATAAAAAGGATCCTTTCATCATTTTGCTACTTTGGTCTAAGTTGAGAGGATGTGGGACCAGCTTTGTTGGCTATTTGGCCTCTGAAATAACTGTTAAAAAGATTTATAGAACCATTGAACTTGAGAGCTGTTCATTCAATAAAATGTTTCTGAGTGTTTATTGAGTTAACCCATAGTTTGAGGGTTAACATCCTCATTTTAAGAATGAAAATGCTGATGCCCAGGAGATTATGTGCCTGGTCTGAAAACATAGTTAATGGCAAAACTGGGACTAGAATCCAGATTTTCTGGACCACCAGTACAATAGTCTTGCCATTCCAACACGGCATTTTTTCACTGCAGAAATCACAATAGTAACTTTATTCTACTTAATGAAACACTGTATTTGTAAAAATGGCTTAAAAACCAGTGAGTATCATACAAATAAAAAACATTATTCATTTTTGCAGAATAGAACAGACCACAGGCTTGAAGTGGTATATGATTCTACCTAAGCATCAATGGATTTTGTTCTTCTTCCCTTAAATATTCCCGAACGGCTCTCAGGATAGGATATGTTTCTGTAAATACCCTTTCCTTTCCACGTTTCTCTCTAATCCTACTATTCAGCTAAAATGCTGATTTTTAATTTATGACTCAATCAGCATGAGTATTATGTTTACTCCCTAAGGGAAAGTTTATAAATTTTAACACAATTTCCAATCATTCTTTTGATTTGATGACCCTTTCTCTTTTATGCAATATTTTTAAAGTTTCTCTTTGGGGCGCCTGGGTGGCTTGGTCGGTTGAGCGTCTGACTGCAGCTCAGGTCATAATCTCGCAATTTGTGAATTCAAGCCCCGCGTCAGGCTCTGTGCTGATAGCTCAGAGCCTGAAGCCTGCTTTGCATTCTGTGTCTCCCCATCTCTCTGCCCCTTCCCTGCTCATGCTCAGTGTCTCTCTGTCTCTCAAAAATAAATAAATGTTTAAAAAAAGTTTTTTTAATAAAAAAAAAGTTTCTCTTCATAAATGGTCAACTTTCAAAGCAACACTGGGACGCAATAAAAGAAACTTATTAACACAGCCCCAATAACAGGTCTTATCACAATAATGTTCTTAGTACAAGAACATTACCTGGAGATAGTATTTCTTCTCTTTAGCCACAGAGACAAAGGGCAAAATAAACAAAGCTTTCTTCCGCATTTCCAAAACCCTCTTCAACATAAGTAGTTCAGCAACAAGAGTCTTTCCAGCACTTGTCGGAGCTAAAACATATTATTCCATAAGGTTATCATAAAGAGAAGTAATATTTGACATACTGCACAAATAAATGTTTTAAACCACATCCAGTAACTACAGGGCCTAAGACTAACCTATCATTAAGTCCCCTACTAGCATTTGAAAACTTTATATGCTTAAACCCCACTGACTTCAAACCAGGGTTCTAGATAGCCTCACACGGAAGAGAATTATTAAACAAATCCTTTTTGGAACAATAAATGATGAATATTGAGTCCCTAGTTTGTATCTAAAGATCCTTTCCTTTAAGTACTGATTAAAAGTAAGTACTGGTTAAAAGCCCTGCTTTGAGGAAGGAGATAAACAACTTTAATATATCGTGATAGGAACTATGATAGAAGCTGAGAGAGAAGAGCTGTAACAAAGTTTATGGAAAGGAAATAGAAGTTATGAGAAGACAATGGAAGAGGAAAGGAATGTCAAGCAAAAGAAACAGCATGTGCAAAGGCCTGGAGGAAATCCTGGTAAATTCAGATGACAGTAACTTAGTAAGCCTGAAATAAAATCAGTAGGAGTAAGAGAAGATAAATGAATGTGCCACATGAAAAAGAATTTTATAATCCCATCACATAAGGACTTTAGAATTTATCCTGAAAGCAACACAGAATGATGAGTTTCATAAAAAGGAGTGGCAAGATCATGTACTTTATAAAGACCACTTTGGATGCAGAGGCAGAACAAAACCAGAGAGAAAAGATAAACTAGTTATAAGGCTACTCCATAATCTAGAAGATGATAGCATAATCTACAAGAGAGAGGATAATAAGCTAGGTTATGTACCTAAAAACAGAGAGTAGTCAGAATCAAGCTATTTGGGATAATACACACTGGACTTGGTAATTAATTGATATAAGTTGGTGACCAGAGATACGAATGACACTCCAGTTTTGGTTTAAGCAGCGGAAATGGTCAGGCCATTCTACCACTGTCACCAGTTAGCATTTATTGTGTACCTTCTACGTGCCAAGAACTCTTCTAAGCATTCTCTCATGCTTTCTATTAATATGCTCTCTATTAATTGCCACAGGCGGCAAGTGTTAGTTTTCAAACCCAACCAATCTGATTCCACAGTCTGAACTTATTTCTAATGATAACTATTTGCTGCAGCCATAAGGAAAAACCTGGATCACTCACAACTTCAGAGAAAACTGATACAAAGAAAGTGCATCTTACCAAGTAAGTTCTAAAGTCAGCACAGCAAAAAAATTAAGTAGTATGAATGTCAGAGTTGCTCTTGAAGCCTATATAAATCTTCTATAAAACAAATTACATGCGGTTTTGTGTATGCAACCCTGTAAAGCGAGTCAATTTATAAATAACTAATGTATAATGTTCATACACCGTAAGGCAACTGAGATCAACAGGGTGGGGGGGTGGCGGGGAGAACAGATTTACATTTCCCTTGCACACTCACCCTGGGACATGTTTGTTGAGAGGAATAGCAAGCAGAACAGCTCTCCTCAAATTGTCTGCTTTTGGGGGCACCTGTGTGGCTCAGTCTGTTGAGCATCCGACTACGGCTCAGGTCATGATCTCGCAGTTTCTGAGTTCAGCTCCATATCAGGCTCTGTGCTGACAGTTCAGAGCCTGGAGCCTGCTTCAGATTCTGTGTCTCATTCTTTCTCAAGCCCCTCCCCCACTTGTGCTTTGTCTCTCTCTGTCTCCAAAAGTAACGTAAAAAAAATTTTTAAATTTTTTTTTTAATTTTTTTTTCAGCGTTTATTTATTTTTGGGACAGAGAGAGACAGAGCATGAACGGGGGAGGGGCAGAGAGAGAGGGAGACACAGAATCAGAAACAGGCTCCAGGCTCTGAGCCATCAGCCCAGAGCCCGACGCGGGGCTCGAACTCACGGACCGTGAGATCGTGACCTGGTTGAAGTCGGACGCTTAACCGACTGTGCCACCCAGGCGCCCCGTAAAAAAAATTTTTAATTGTCTGCTTTTTTGCTCTCTACCAACCACCAATATAATGGAATTTGCATAATTTATGTATGTATATGAGACTCCACTTTTCATATTTTAAGACTTAAGACTTTCTCTAGTTATAAATCACTGTCTCATTCACTTTTTAAAACTACCTCATAACTACTACCTTTTAACTACTTCATAACTACCTCAATAGAGTATCCTTTACATTCATGTCTTTAAAGTAATAAAGAAATTAATTTGCACAAATTTTAATACCTGAATAGACTAAATTCTTTCCTTCCAGGACTTGTCCAAGCAAAAGGCACTCTGCCTGCCATTCAAACATCTTTTTTACACCAAAACTGTGATATTTCTCCAGAACCGCTGCAGGAAGTCCCCAGTTTGCCAACAGCAACTTGTCCATTTGATCGTCAGAAACTGTCTGCTTGCATTCCCCTTTCAGGAAAGAAAAAAGTAATTAAGAGTTTAACCTAATGCTAATATATGACTTCAGTAGTCCTCCACCGTGTTTTGGAATCCCTGTGTGTTGGAGTGAGGCTACATAGAGCATATCCTGACATAAAGCATTTTCCCATATAAGGATCTGTAAGGAGTCCTGGGCACTATTACGCGTTGAGCCTCCCATAGATGATTAGACTGGCCACTAGGAAGTTGTTTCTGTAAAGGTCGAATGACCCACAAACCACTTGAATATTATCATGAGGCTGTTGCCCAATATGCACGTCCATGTCCTAACAGAAAGTGACCTTCCACACCAGTCAGGAGTCACAAACTGAGAAAGGGAGTAGAAGCCTAGCAGGCTGTGCAAACAAGCAAGCTCTGTGCTGTAATTACGTACACCTCCCGACACGTGGCTGGGCAGAGCTGCCCACCTCACCCGCCGCCCCCAGAGGGCCCGAGAGTACCTGCAGCTGCTGCTGGCAGACGACCGAGGTCCTTCAAGCAGCGCCCCAGGCCTGGGGGAGGACTCAGCACCGGCCCTGAGGGGAGCAGGGGGCTGTCATTACTGTCACAGCAGCTTCCCGAGAAGGAGTCCGAGCCTGATGCTGAACGTCGCCGTTTCCCACTCCAGCGCGGAAGATTCATCGCGAACTCTTCTTGGCCATTCAGGGAAAGCCACAGTCCCAGCGTCTTCCCACACGGCAGAAACAGGGCCTGATGACAGGTGTAGCCACCATCTTCCCGCCACGGTTTTCAAACTCAGACCTCCCAACCCGCGCCGGAACCATAGAGTTCTCAGTGGTGAGAGTATCCTGAAAAACCATAGAATCGTGGGGGAAGGAGCGTCTCTCAGTGGTGTCCTAGACCTCCAGTCTCTAACCTTTGTAGGTTAGGGTCAGAGAAGCAAAACTGGGCCTGGTTGCGGGGCGGGGTGGGGGGAGACTCGGTATATATAACCTGCACTTATAATCGGGTTAGCCTAAGCACTTTTTTTGGTCCATTTCTGATTTGAATAGCAAGATTTGCTAACTTCAAAAAGTGAGTTGCCCTTTATAGGTAGATCAGGGAAACAACTCTTCTTAAAGTGTTGTATTAAAAAATTATAACAGATTATGTGTGCAAAATATTATACAAGTGAAACCTCGGATTTCTAGTGGAGCATAATCAGCCGCTCTCGTAGTATATGATGGTGTGGCAGAGGCTATTTCTGCAGTTCCTGCTGTGGCCATCACACTCTGACGAATACGTGACGGCGAGTCGGGGACTGCTGGCAGACCTCTTCGAAGTCTGTATTAACGCTGCAAAGAATGGGCTCTGAATGTGCCTGGGTGATCATGTTGTTGATGGACCTGTGCTCTATCTTTTGGCAAGGTAGAAGCAAACGCATTCTGGACGTAAACTGTGGCGAGTTAATTACCTAGTTGCATAATTAGTTGCACCAAGCAAATCTAATAGGAGAAAGCCCTGTCCTTAAGAGGCTGCGCTATTCTATAGCACTAACGATCTCAAAAGGGCTGGTCCAGTAGAAAAGATTGGTTACACGCCTGGTAAATAGGCACTTTAGAATTCTATGAAAACCTACCTTATTAAAAAATGTTTTTTAATGACGATATTCTAAAGTTCCACAAGATGGAGACATTACTCCACGAAGGAAACATTTTTCCTCGTTCTCTTTTATGCAAGTTCCCTGCATTCATTCTCTCAACCATTTATTGAGTACGTTCTGTGTATGTGGCAGGGAAATGGCAGGAAATGGTTCCTGCTCTCAAAGAGAAAGAGCCTAGAGAAAGAGACAGACATTAAACAAATTAATAATTTTAAGTTGTGCTAATGTTCAGGCAGAAATGAACAGTGTTATCAAAGAAGTAGAAAGAATCCTAATTTACATTGTAGTCATGGAAGAACTTTATGAAATGTCCTATAGCATAGAGGTCAAGAGTGTGATTCTGGAGCCAGTCTAAGTATGAAGAATTTGTAACTGATTTGGGGCAACTTGCTTAACCTCTTTGTGCATCCATTATTTCATGTATATGACAGTGATAATAATAGTAAACTGGTTTTTATGAACATTAAATAAGTCAATATGGGTAGAGTGCTTAGAACAGTGCCTCCCACATAATAAATGTTCTAATATTTCTCCAAATATAAACCCAGCATTGTAAGGAAAGTAATAAACCAAAAAAAATTCTCACAAATCTCACATTATTTTTATTATATGAACTATGATCAAATGAGGAAAATAATTAGGAAGGAAATGCAAGAAATAGTTCATGTCATCCCAGTAAAAAGCCTAGAGAATATTTTCAAATTTTCAAACATTCAACAACTGTTTCTAATTTTAAAAAAAAATCTTAAAAAAGAAAGCTACTTCTCAAAACTATTTTTTTTAATATTAAAAAAAATTTTTTTGTGCTAACAGGTATTGTAATAATGTTAATACACCAGAAGTATTTCCCATCTGTCTTTTAATTGCATCTGAGCTTGTGTTCCTTAGGATTTTTATTTGTGGTAATTCTTCCAGGTCCACAGGGAATGCCTGGCTGTCTCAGTCGGAGAACATGGGACTCTTGATCTCAGAGTCATAAATTCAAGCCCCACATGTGGTATAGATTTTATTTACAACAAATAAAAAATAAATAAAATCTCCCAGAAAAAAAAAAAAAAAACATCTGCACATATTTCTGGCAGTTTCTGGGAGACATCCAATTCTGGACCACTTTAAACTTAATCTCTGGGTTGATTTTTTTTTTTTTTTTTTTTTAATATATGGAAGTAGGAGCATGATGTTAGACACTCAGAGCCAGATTTGGACAGACTTCCATCCTCACCGTATCAATCTGCAGATCAGACATTTCTCTCCTTTACTTACTAAGGGTGCTGCTTCTTGGGTTTTGACTTTATTTTCTTAGATCTTATCTCTCACCTGTTAGGAGCCCCAGACTCCTATCCCAGAATACATAATCCATTAAAATCCACACTCTAGATCACCATGGATCAGCAGACACCACTATGGAAAACTTTGGTTCTAGTGTTTCATTTGCTCTTTTAGAATCTTTGAGTATTTGATTGACATTTATGTCCTACAAGGAATTCTCTGATTTTTACAATTTTACTCAGGAATTTTATTAAATATATTTCTTATATAACATCCAGAATTTTAAGAAGTGTGCTACACTAGAAGTGGTTTCTTGTTCAGCCTAATATTTCTGAAAACAAAAGCAAAGGAAACTCAAATAACAATTGATATACATTCAAATATGTCATCTGATTATTTTAGTCTGTACAAATAATAAAGTGATTTTTCTATTGAAATTGCAGAGGTTATATAGAAAAATAAAATTTATGCAAACTACATTTGTGATTTAATTAAAACAAAGTCATCTACCCAAACTGAATAAATTCTGTGCTTCTCACGTGGATGGAAGTGATTTGCAAAAAAAAAGGAGAAACCAGAAAATATCCAAGATCAGAAATGGGATGCAAGTGGTGCTAATTGGAGCTAATGTGCTCAGAATAAAGGAGATGCTAATTAAGAGGATTTTCTATTTGAAGTGCAGTGGTTCTCAACTGGACAAGGGCAGTGGCTGCACATTAGTATCCCCTGGGGAGCTTTAGAACTATTATCCTATGCCTAAAGACTCTGATGTAATTGGTCTGGGATAGAACCTTAAAAGCTCCCCAGGTGTTCGTAAAATGTTGCTGGAATTGAGAACCCCTGGTATAATCCAAGGGGTGCTGCAGATTTGAATTCAGGTAGCTTCTGTGAAGGTTTAATAAGAGGCTTAGCTGAACAAGAAACTCTGAAAAAGACCTTTCTCCACAGTGTCCAAAGAACTAGTAGAAACAGCTCGCTTATGGATGGGGTCGGAAGCAAAATTGAAATAACTCCAAAGGTCTAGGTTAAAACATCAGAAAGCCAACTTAAAGATAGTAAAATGAAACTGTGAATGCCTGAAAGAAATTGAATTACAGAAATACGTAAGAACACAAACCCATAACTTCCAAATTTACATATAGGCTGTTCTCCCACTTCTCACATGGCAGTACTATCGATTGCTTATGTAGTAAATACCAAGCAGACACTATAAGGAAGAGGGATAAGGAGTAAAACTAGGAATCCTAAGGATGTGATTTTTGGAGTAGAAATAGCCTTTGATTAGATGGGGAAAGGGGTGAGTACTCTGCCGGGGAAAAGTTACCAAAAGGAGCCCTGGTGGATCAAGCTCCTGATTGGTTTGCTTGGGGTGGGGGGAGTCAGATCATACCTAAGCTAACACCCCAGGGCTACCACTTGAGTCTCTGAGTGTACAGTTTTAAAATCAGCCTTTTTTTTTTTGCCTGCACACTTTTAATTTATTTTTTATTTTTAAATATAACATTGGGTTTTTTTTGTTTTTTTTTTTAAAGTTTTTTTTTTTCAACGTTTATTTATTTTTGGGACAGAGAGAGACAGAGCATGAACGGGGGAGGGGCAGAGAGAGAGGGAGACACAGAATCTGAAACAGGCTCCAGGCTCTGAGCCATCAGCCCAGAGCCTGACGCGGGGCTTGAACTCACAGACCGCGAGATCGTGACCTGGCTGAAGTCGGACGCTTAACCGACTGCGCCACCCAGGCGCCCCAATATAACATTGTTAAATTGGCTAACATACAGTGTGTAAAGTGTGCTCTTGGTTTTGGGGGTAGATTCCCATGGTTCATTGCTTACATACAACACCCAGTGCTCATCCCAACAAGTGCCCTCCTCAATGCCCATCACCCATTTCCCTTCTCCCCCACCCACATCAACCCTCAGTTTGTTCTCTGTATTTAAGAGTCTCTTATGGTTTGCGTCCCTCCCCCCTCTGTTTGTAACTATTTTTCCCCTTCCCTTCTGTTAAGTTTCTCAAGATCCAAATATGAGTGAAAACATATCTGTCTTTCTCTGACTGACTTATTTCACTTAGCATAATACCCTCCAATTACATCCATGTTGCTGCAAATGGCAGGGTTTCATTCTTTCTCATTGCCAAGTAGTACTCCATTGTATATATAAACCACAGCTGATGGACATTTAGGCTCTTTCCATAATTTGGCTATTGTTGGAAGTGCTGCTATAAACATTGGGGTACATGTGCCCCTATGAATCAGCACTCCTGCATCCTTTGGATAAATTCCTAGTAGTGCTATTGCTGGGTTATAGGGTAGTTCTAGTTTTAATTTTTTAAGGAAACTCCACACTGTTTTCCAGAGCGGCTGCACCAGTTTGCATTCCCACCAACAGTGCAAGAGGGTTCCCTTTCTTCACATCCTCTCCAACATCTGTCATTTCCTGAGTTGTTAATTTTAGTCACTCTGGCTAGTATGAGATGATATCTCAGTGTGGTTTTGATTTGGATTTCCCTGATGATGAATGACATTGAGCATCTTTTCATGTGTCTGTTGGCCACCTAGATGACTTCTTTGGAAAAGTGTCTATTCGTGTGTTTTGCCCATTTCTTCACTGGATTTATTTGGAAAACCCAAAAGAAAGACTCCACCAAAAGGCTGCTAGAACTGATACATGAATTCAGGAAATTCACAGAGTACAAATCAATGTACAAATATCGGTTGTATTTTTATACACCAATAATGAAGCTACAGAAAGAGAAATCAAGAAATTGACCCCATTTACAATTGCACCAACAACCATAAAATACCCAGGAATAAACCTAACCAAAGATATAAAAGATCTGTATGCTGAAAACTATAGAAAACTTATGAAGGAAATTGAAGAAGACACAAAGAAATGGAAAAACATTCCATGCTCATGGATTGGAAGAATAAATATTGTTAAAATGTCAATACTACCCAAAG